TTCTTTAACCTAGCTAGCTAGCATAGAAGTTGCTCAGTGCAAAGAAGTGAGGGTATTCACTCTAGGAAGGACTCTGTTACCCTATAGACTGAAATTTGGCACAAGTGGAACTATTGTTTCATTCTTGATATGCATATTAATCTGTCATCAACTAACTGCCATATGCAAATGAGTTGTGACATCTGTAATACAAGATTTTATTGCCAACCCAGGTCATTTACACCTGTTTTTATGTAAAGTTAAGCCTCACAGATTCATTTATGATGATTTATTTATATCTGCCTGTTAAATGCAGATAAGGTATACCAAGGGTGGCATTTGAATTTTGATTAAGTCTTTCCTGTGAACATCCCGCTGGCAGGCTGGTTCTAGTTCTATCTAACAGGAAGAACATGTAAAACTCCATTAACTGGTTAGGACGATGTAATTACTAAGACTTTTTAAAAGTTAGGGCACTAAACCAACACAGCCAGTTGTCTGTTGGACTTCTCCACGAGGGGGTTGAGCAAAGCAATTCAAGAGGAAACAAACAGCTTGCTACATAGACTAGAAACTTGACAATAATTGGACAAATGAAAGTATGATCTACACAATTTTTAGTAGAGGCAGTAAGAAATTTGGGTTATAATTGACAATGACATGATTTTGCAACACCTTCCTCTTTGTCTATTTCCCCCCTGACTTGGAAGAGAGAAAAGAAACTTTTTGTTTGTTGGTTTACCTGTGGACAGCAGCGCAAGGTGTATGCATCCTGAACACGATCACAGAACCTGTGACTTTCTGTGGAAAAGATGAAAGGGGGACATGTTATCCCTTTCCCTCCCACACACACAAAACCAAATAAGCTCGCTTTCATAAGCATGCGCAGACCTGCTATTTCTGATGGATGGTGATCCGAGTCCAAGAGTGACCGAAACCGAAAAGAAACTTCTATTTGCCCTCGATGAGGGCGAACAGCATGAATGTCTAGAATTGATAAAGGAGAACAAGTCTGAGCAATTCTGATATTAGAACGAACTATGATGGATGGCTCAGGACCATCCATGGTGCTAACACAGCCCTCAAAACCCCAGGAGTCCTTAACCACCACTTAGCATTAGAAAATGAACACCAAAAGCAAGTTGTTCCTTATTGTCTCTATTCTTTCTACTTTCAATATCTGAGGACAAACTATGTGTTGAGACTACTGGGAATTCAACCCAGGACACTGAGTTACCCCCAAAATATTTAGGCTTATAATGGAAGGGAGCCCTGTAGTGGCTTAATTTAAGTAATTTTTAAACACTTTTTCTGTCCTACTGTATATAATAGCAGAGAGTCTTTCAAACTCACTGCTTTCTAGGTAAGCTACCACTTCTACAGGGTTTTTTTTTCCTTCCAAATTTCTAATGGGGAGCAACCTGAGTTCCATAATTCTAAAACCCTGCACACAGATTCCTAAAGCAGGATATAGTTTGATGGGAGTCAGGCCTGGGTGATGTGGAACAGGTCCTTTAACTCTCAGGGTCAGCATCTGTCTGTATAACGTGATCATTTCAAGGAAGCCGAGGAGGATTGGGTATGCCCCAGGCATTGGGTTTTCTCTTTCTTCCCTACCACCCACCCCCACCACTCCTGTGTCTAAAGACCTCAACCAGCCCATCCTACCAGCTCTGGTTGAATGAGTAGCAACCAAAAGGAAGAACCATGCTGACCAGTATCGAAGGCTTTGGTGGTGCCTTTCAGCACCTCAAGGGTCAAGGCCGCCACTATGTCAGCCTGCCGAGCAATAGCACTGGCTCTCTCCACAGCTTCACAGCCCAGGGAGGTGATCATCTGCGTCCCATTGATGAGCGCCAGACCCTTTGGGGAGGGGGAGAGAAGTTTCCTACTGTATTTATTATAACAGGCCTAGGAAGTTGATTTAGTACCTTTTGCTTTCATAAGAGGAAAGCTAGGCAGTCAGCTGAAGGATGCTTATTCATGTGTTCTGAAGTGGAGTGCAGAAATGCTTATTTAAGCCCTTGAGGACTAAGTAAGTGCCTTCCTATGTGAAGTCATTAGTATAAATCTGCCAAATGGAATAGCTAGTAAGTATCTCTATTCTCAAGGCAGCAGTGTAGCTGCAGTGTAAAATGCATATAAAATATTTAGCTCTTAATTATGCTGCATTTCCTCTTTAACTTCTCATCTTTGTAGACAAGATACCCTGAAACATGCCTGGTCCAAAGATCTTGGTTTAGAGCATCCTAAGGGATGCTGGCTTAGAGCATCTCTTCGGGATCCCTAGAGATCCTGATGTGAACTTTAAGCTCTTAGGTAAGAGAACCCCTAAGCATGTGTGGCATGAAGGATCTTTTAAATGCATATGAAGGAGCCCTTTCTTTAGTGGACAAAGTTTAACCGACATGTAAGTCACATTTATTTTAAGAAATGAGTGAGACCGAAATTAAGACTGAAAATAGTGCAGAAAGACTTGTTAACATGAACAAATTGTCCTTGAATCTCCTTACCTCTTTTGGTTTCAAAACAATTGGTTTCAGTCCATGGGCTTCCAGGACCTAAAGAATGATTTACACAAATAAAAATGGGTATCAAATGAAATACCAGCCTATTTCTAATTGCATGAGGAATCTTATAAAACATCTTTAAGCCCACAGGTCTGTCTTATAAAAGATTAGACCTACATGCATTGGTTCTAGTCATCATCTCTGGTCTATTCTCTAGTTCTGCCCTTTAGTCTGAAAGCAGACCTTAGCTTTCAAATCATTTCCGTACCTAAATCAGGGGCTCTAGTGTCTACAGAATCAACCCTGAGTTTTGGTTTCTAGGTGATATGTGTTTAGTGCCCACTTGAATGATTCACCTTTCTCCTGCTGCTTCCTGGGAACATGTGCAACCTGTGCTGTGCTGAGGCTAGGCTTTCCTGCCTCCGGAGCATGACGTAAGAAGTCCTCTACCCTCCTCTTACTTATCTGAACACTGGTGGAACCTCAGAGCAGGGCTTCTTACTTGTATGGCAAATGTATGAACACTAGTGAAGCAGGGGTGGGGGGGTTGTTGGCCTAATAGATGGAAACACAATTCTAAGGGGAAAAGGGCGGAATAATCTTCCTCCAAAATAAAAGAAGGGAAAGCAGTCACTTAGTTAAGGTCCCTCGAGGGAAGAAGGAAGACAGAGCCAGCACCATTTACTCTGTCAATTTCGCAAGTTTATTAGAGTCTCTATTAAACACCCAATTCTGTTCTGGGTGTTGGGCTGGGGCTGGGGTAGGAAAAATGGAGACAGACAAGCTCAAAGGCAATTACAGTAATAGAATGTTCAGTGCTCCAGGAGGCAGGAAGTGGGTACGGTTCCGCGGAAAATAATCACGTAAGATGCCAGGAGAGCACAAGGAGGAACAAAAGGGATGGGTGTGTCTGTGTGTGTGGGGTGGGGGGGAACCAGAAGACCAGAGAGGGGAGTTTCCCAGAGGACTTAACAGAAAGAGGGACAGGAGTGAGTGGGGAAGAGAAGAACGCATCTGTGTGGTCCTTCTGCCTAGGACACAGCGCGTTCCAGCTGCAAGGCTCCTCTAGCCTCTGTGATGTTGAACCCTGGCAGGAAGGGACGAGGGGAGTAACATGACAGACAAGACTCTTATAGGTCACTTTAAGTTCAGACTTTCTCCTAAGGGCAATGGGAAGCATCAATACCCCCAACGCCCCGCCGAGAGAAAATATCGCACATGGAAGCTGTTATGAAAGTCTTACGTATTTAGCGTCAGCCCAGCCACTCTTTGGAGACCACATCTTCCCCTCTCCAATGAGCCCAAGGGCAAGATGAGAGAGCGGGGCAAGGTCCCCACTGGCACCAACGGTTCCTTTCTCTGGAACATAGGACAGGCAGGAGGCTGGGAGGGAAGAAGGAGCAGTTACTTCAGGGGGACTTCATTCTGGCTATCCCCATTTTGCCTATGAGACCAACCTCCGCCAGTTGGAGCTCGTAATCACTTTATGGCACAGGTACCTGGGGATAAAGCGATTCCTCAAACACAGCTCCTGCTGAAGTGACCTGGCTGAGCTGCTATAGAGAAAGCGTGAGGAGGAGGAGGAGGAGAGAAAGAAAGGCAGGAAGGGAGAAGGGAGGGAAGCATCACAGGTGTTAGCCAGGATATGCTCAGATTGGCTGTGCGAAGGTGGTTGGGGGGACACTACATGGAGGAAACAATCAAGATGGGGCTGCATGGCAGAAAGTCGAACTGGAACCCACATCCCCATAACGATTATCTGTTAACTTCTTCCTCTTTCTGGGTCCTCTGCCCCTTCACTTGCTGTGCATGTTCTAATTGGACCTAGAAATTTCAGGAATTCTACCAATGTATCTTAAAGACGTGATCGGGAACTAACTGTTGTTCATTATAGACTTGTCTCTAAGAACAAAAAGTTAAAAAATATCTCAATATGGAATTAAGAGATTTTCCTATGACAAAAGTTTTGTGTAGCCACCTATTGGAGAATGTTTAGAAATGTGTAAATACTGGAAGGGGGAGAGGGTGCCAAAAAAATGTATACAAGTGGACACTTTGGTCAACGTTGCTCAAGCAGTAGTTTGCCGTAATCAGAAGTGTCTGGACACTGATGGTAATCACTTTGAGCACCTCTTGTAATTGCAGAAGTCAAACGTGACTAGTATTCATCTTTTGTTGTTGGTATATATTGAGTATTACAATTAATACAGTTGTTTCCTTTCTTAAAATGTGTATACATTTTTTTGGCACCCACTGTATTTATGTTAGAAAAGTAATATAAAATGTTCCAGGAGGATAAGGTTCACCAAAGTGTTGACAAGGGTTCTCTGGGGAATAGGCAACTTAGTCTCTTCTTTTTGCCAGATTCCTCATGACCCAGTCTGCCACCTCACTACCACTTATAAATGGACATAGTTTAGTAGGCAATTCCAAGTTACCAAAAAAAGGGGGACTTTGTTTTTCTAAGTAAACTCAGACTCCTGAGAGCAGTGTTTTTGCCAACTGCTGAATAATGTCAATAGAATAAAGCAGTGCCACCCATGAGCCAGCTTCCAGATCAGAGTTCAAGTCACCCTGGGGAATTCTCTGAACTCTTAGGGACCCACCCAGAGGTGCTTTAGACTGGCCCATAATGCATATATAGGTGGGTTCACTGCCAAAGCTGTACTAGCTGGGATGGTAGGGCAGACCAGGATGGGAGTAGAAATAGGTGTTGGCATCATGACTGGTCTGTTCAGCATAGCCCTGTACACAATAGATTGCTCATTCAAATTGCTATTCACTGATCAGCATATCACATTTATGGGCCACTTGTGACCACAGCATGTGTTTTGGTCTGACTGCCCAGCCCTGCTTCTCCTCCTCCCACTCCTTCACTGCAACGAATCCCTGAGCCTCTGCTGACCTAAAATGTTTATCCTTATTTGTAAGAAGGGACAATGGCGTCCCAAGCATTTCAAATCTTGTCTCCATATTTTAATTTTGCTATCCCAAGAAATAAGCTCCAAAGAGTTGAACTGCATCGTATCCTAGCACTAGATGGCTTCATGATCACAAGCAAGTCTGTAATCTCTTTTCTGTTCTATCTTTGGGAGAAGTTGGACTTCAGTTATTTAAGTCTGGCAATCCTACCACATGGGGAGCATTATGATTTCAGATTCCCAGGCACCAACCACAACTATTGAGTCGGTCTTTGGGATGGACGTCCAGGAATCATGATGTTTCCCAGATGATTTGATGCAACTTCTCTAACCACATTTGGGCACCACTGAATCAAAGTTCTCTCCAGCCCTGAACTGACGGCCGGGCTTGAGGGGCTGGTTCCAGTCTTAAAGATGCCAAATACTAAGTGAAGGATGGTGGCGAATGGGTTACACAGGAGTGAGTGTCTCTGCCACATTCCCCTACCTAGCTATCCTCCTTCTTCCAAACCCATTTTCTATTCCTCTCCATTATTTTAGGTCTTCTTGTCTCAACCGATTCTTCACCATCCCATTAATCAAGTCTACCCTGTGGGACATGCCTCAGTGGATGGTCAGTTGGGGATCTGCTGCATTACCATTAAATATTTCGATAACTTGTTTGAGGGTCTCCAGGGAAATGCCACTGTATCCTTTGGCTAAGACATTGACCCTTAAAGCCAAGAGCATCCGACATCTCTCAGGGATTAGTGGTTTTCCAACACCTACAAAACAGAATTGATGGTTTCTACAAGAGAAAGAAAATCTCTTCTAACTCCTGGCTTCCTTCATCTCTCAAACCTTTCTCTACTTCTTGACTCAGGTAGTTGGACTGCTCTCCCCACCGACTGTCTTGCTTCTTAAAGTCCCATCGTCAGGGTGAACGTCCAATTTTGCCTTCTCAGTTTCCCTTTTTGGAACACTTCAATGACCCCCCGCCACGTGCTCAACACGCTTAGAATAGAGTCCAGGCTCCTTAGCACAAGCTCCCTTGCAATCTGATTGGTGCTGATTCTTGGCACACTGTCCCATCTCACCTCGTCCCAATCCCCTCATTCCCTGACTTTCAGCCTTAATTCCATTCCCTGAATGCAGCACTCTCTTGGCATGACTGTACACATGCTGCGGTCCCAACCCTATCCCTCCACCTGGCCTGTTCCTTTTTCAGAGATTCAGCTGGTAGGTGGTCTTGTCCGATGCTTTCTGCTTCCTTCCCTCCCCTCCAGCAGAATTGGCACCTAGTCCCCATGGCTGTTACAGGATGCCCTACACCATGCTGTACTTTATTCATCCAATCAAACAAGACCTAGGAGGCACCCAGCGTTTGGAATGGTTTACCTGAAGAATGGGAACGCACTAGATTGAACTGGAGCTCCCTGGAAGAGAAAGAGAGAAAAAACCCTTTTAAATACCTCATGGTGAAAATGTTCCCTCAGCTGGGGAAATGAAGGAAGGGATAGTTAAACCTTTGGAGGGACAGGATGAGGCAGCATGAGGCAATGGAAGAAACCAGCAAGCCTGTGTTTACAATACCCACTCCTATGGGAGTTAACCCACTTCTCATCCTCCTCATCTGTAAATCAGGGCAAATGTTAATTACTTCCCTTGTTGAAAGAAACCTCAAAGATGAGGGTGTAGGTGGCATGTGAATGTGTGTGCGCTTGGTGGGGAGGGCAGGACTCCAACTTACTCTAGCTTATCGATAGGAATTACAGTTCGGGCAAATTTCCCAAAGCCTGTAGTAATGCCGTAAACAACTGGAATAAAATAAAAACAAAACAAAACAAAGAAAACAACAGACATTATACAATTAGGGTCAGGCCATATTTTCTCAGTCTATGAAAATAATTGTATAACACAAAGGGAAAAAGATACCAGTTTTTTCTTTTATGATTCTGTCTATGACTTCCCTGGATTTTTGCACCTTCTTTTCGGCAGTTGGGGTGAGCTAGGAAAACATTGGTCAGAGCTGAACACACTGAAGACTTCCACACGCAGCAGAAAAGGTCGGAGGACATCCTTCCCTTCCTTCCCCCATACCTTTATTTTGTAGCATCCCTTGCCCAAGTTGACCAGATCCTCTGTGGTCAGGCTGTCCCCATCTAAGGCGATGTACTGCACAAACGAAGGGGGTCTCCATGAGTCCGAGCAGCTTTGTTGCTCGTACAAGTGAGAAGGGAAGCCTCAAGCAGAACCAAACTTTGACACTTCAGAGATTTTTATCACTGCTGTGACACACTAATGCACTAATTTAAGAAGAACACAGCTTGCTTAAGAGGAGGCTGAGTAAGGAAAATTAGAAATGAAAAAGCATATGCCTTTTCCTACTACACAGAGCTGGCCAAAGTCCTGTCTGAATTGATAGTGTTTGCTCATAGATTTTGCTGACTCTCTCCGCCCTTCAGTGAGGGGGAGCTTAATTTTCTTAACAAAAGGAGAGTAGTTTGAAGCTTACCTTGTCAGGCTCCCGGTATTTGCTGTATCTGAAGCCAGCCAGGTAAAGGAAAACACTGGGGAATGTGGAACAGGCCCAGCCCCCAGAGCAGGCCAAGGGGCCTGCAGGAAAGGATACAGGTAAACTCCTTCTGGCTGCGATGGAATGAAGTCAGGAGACATGGCATCCCCTTCTATAACTGAAACAAGAACACAAGAGGCGACCCCTTACAGATCACAACCGAGAGCCGCTTTTGGCCTTGCTGGTAAACCAAGGAAGGACTCTTCAATTGCCTTTGAATTCTTTAGACATGGCCGCTCTAAAATGACTTAAGATACTTTCAAGTGTCCTTAGTGTCTTTACAAAGAAGGAGAGCAAAAGGCAGAGATGTAGGTGACAGGCATTGCTTCGGGTTTAAGTGAAAGTTCGAGATCTAACCCCCACCTCTATCCCCATCCCCGGCTTTATTTTGTTTTGAATCTGAACACCTCTATGTCGCTGGCCTCTAGTGGGTGAGGTTGTTTTGAAGGGCAAAAGGATCTTCGCCTTAAAGTCTATCAAAATAATTATGTAACACGAAGGAATTCAGTAAATGCAAAGGGACTTAAACCTGCCGTCCTGAGTTCAAATCTGATCTTTGCTCCTTACTGGAGGCCTGACTGACTTGACTCAAGGTAAGACCTCCTTGTTGTCTCTTGCCTCGTTATAAAAGGTGGATAAGAATCCGATCTCTCTCGCAGGGCTGCGTGACAATGGAAGGCACACAGAGGCCTAGCAGTGCCCGCACGCAGCCCTCACGCATTTCCCCCGGGGTGGGGATGGCAATGCAGCCTCCCTCGGAGGGATGTGAGCTCTAGGCGAGGCCATGCCACATCAGTTTGCATTGCTCCCCTCTGGCTACTCACCCACTTCCACGAACTCGTTGTCCTCCAGGGCCACCTCGAGTGGGTCCTCATTGTCCAGCAGGCCCAGGCCCTTGCAGCGGCGCACGAGAAACTGCACGTCGTCCACCGAGGCGAAGCCACCGTTGTCTGGCTTGTTCTTCATGTACCTCCGCACGGCCTCGCGGCCCAGCCAGCCCACGGTGAGCTGCGCGTCCCGGCAGGGCACGGCCAGCCATTCTCCGCGCACGTGCACTGTGTACCTGGGCATGGCTCCCTGCTGCTCCTGTGGCCCGATGAGGCCACCACAACCAGACCGCGCCTGCACCTATACCGGGGACAGTCACTGATGATGGTCACCAGGAGGGGAGGGTTTTATCTTGCAGTGACTACTGAGCTGTGGGGGTGGGGAGGACAAGGATGGACTTTCAAAATATGCCACCTCCCTTGACTTGACTCATTCACGCGTTGGGCAAATATTTATTAAAGGCACCACGGTGTCTCTTTGGGTTTTTGCAGTTGAGCTAGGGGCAGGAGGTGGGGGTGCAGGCAGGCCACCCGCCCATCCACCTGTGAAGCAGCCCTGGTGGCAAGAAGTCCTAGGGGTCCTATTGCCTGCTGGGCCCCTTTTCTTCAGGGTCCCTGATTTCTCCCTCCCCTGGTTCCTGTCTGCATTCTCGTCCCTCAGGGCAGCTTATAAACACCATGTTCCTGTCTTTATCTGGAATTACTCAACTGTAAAATGCACCTTGCTGGCCAATTGTGACACCGGAGAGTGTGGCAATCCTCATTCATTTGTTTATTCCACCAACATGTGTTGAGCAACTACTCTTTGCCACTGCTAAGGTTTTCTGAAGCTGTCCCTCCACAAAGGGAAACTGCAAAGGCCAGAGATCATTTTCATAACTAAAGGTCACCAGTCTTGATGAAGGAGCTACCATGGCTTGGAGGTTCACAGCTGACAGCCATGGCTGGGACTCCAGCTCCAGGACTTTTTAGCCTCCAGCAAGTAAGTTATTAATTAGCTTCTGGTTCCTCTTCAAAAGGTGAAGATGCTAACTGCCTCCCTGCAGTATTTTCAGAATCTACCCGGGATCAAATCCTGGCTCTGCTGTTTACTAATTGTGGGACCTCTGGCAAGTTATTTGACTTCTCTGGGCTTCTGTTGCTTTATTTTTAAAATGGAGATAATAGAACCTATTTTAAAGGGCTATTGGGAGGATTAAGTGAGTTCATATACATAAAGCCCTTAGAGCAGCACCTGGGACATTGGAAATGCTTCAGAAGTGTTTATGATGATTATTTGAACTTTAATACTCGAGATATCTAATTGCTTTATAAATGTTCTTTAATCTTGGGACATGGATATCATTAATCCAATTAAGCTTCTTCAACACAGAGAACTGCTCCCTGCACCCAGTTCATTATGACTAGTATAAGGGACTCTGAAGAGCAAGAAAAAGGAATCAAAGAAATGTGCGCACTAGTTTAGCTAAGCAGCCTTTTAGTGGTAATCCAGTTTCTAGAGATTTGATTACTGCAATAGAAA